CAAAATTGGCAAATAAGTGTTGTTGCAACTTAAATTTAAAATTGTTTTAAAATATATGCACATTTGAGCCTGTTTAATCAAAGTTAGATTTGGTATAAACAAACTATTCGCCTGCCTAAATATAAATACTCAAGTATGCTGGTTATTTCACATTTTGTTATAAGCAATTAAAAAGTGTAAAGACTCACTAAAAATTTACATCCCACTGAGTGGAGTTTCGAGGGCATGGAGGCGTGTCTGTGTGTTATAGGCCATAGGATTTTTTATGGCCTTCATGTGCCATAAACTGGGATAATTCCGCACTTATGGGCCGTATCCTAGATCCTAAAAAATATCTAGCAGGATGCAGCGGCCAATATAATGGCCATTGACTTTCAGCGTATGTATTTCTCTGGTATAGTGAGAGGATGGCTTTGGGTTTTGGGATTTAGCTAAAATCATTGTGGATGTTGAAAACGAGGTAATTATTGAATTTATTTCAACGAAAAGATATCTTGGTATACTTGAACGATACATATTATTTTAATGGTTGGAGTTTAAACACTATTTAACTTGACAATTAAGCTTACAGTTGAGCTCAGTCGTAAATTCATCTTACAAAAATATGTTAGTCAGTATGATCTGAAAACACATTTGATTCAAGTGATACTTTCGAAAATACCCAAGTGACAAAAATACTCCCAAAAAATTGGCGCAATAAAACTAATTTAATTGCATAGCGAAAAGATGAATTATAATTTATTTTAACTGATGCAGGATTCACTAGTACATTAGAGTAAGAACACAATAATGTATGAACAAATAATTTAGAATACAGACATGGAGTTTCCTCATATTTTAATCCGGATTTTTTTATTTTGCTCTTAACACGGCATTCTCTTGAGCCGACATGACAGCTCCTCTACCCTAACAAAATTTAGAGTCGCCCCAGCTTCTAGTAATCCAAATCAGAAGCTGCCGCGTCTGTAAATTTTCACTGGGTAGTAGATTCTGCTGAAACCCTGCCCCATGTGACACTTTTTACGGTGATTCTGACTCATGTGTCGTGAGTTTTAAGATGAGTGACGCACGAGTAACTTTTTTTTTCGTGAACACCTTACGCATCGTGCAGCTTCTTATACATTCATCATTTCATTAGTTGGATGCTCTTCACTGAGAATTTGTCGGTCTTGTAATAAGTTTTGAATTTCGTTCCAATTAATTGAGCGTGAACTTGTGTTTACCTGATTCACTGAATCTTTTAACAAACTGTGGCATTTTCATTCGATGAGTCCGTAGAACAAATGTTCCGTGATGAATAATGACTATTTTTCTTCATTTCTAAGGTATTTACTTCAGATTGGCAGAATGGTTCAACTATAATAATTGTTAACATAACTAGGCATACTTCCCGTGCTTTATAAAAAAGCATAGATATAATACAAATCACTTGCAAAAATATACCCGAATTTTGTGCCTGCGTAGAAGTAATATTATTTTGGTTATTATGAAAATATTAGGGTCTCCTATTTTTATGACCGAGTTTAATACTTAATAACCTTTTAATTTGCTTCCAAATTGTAACATTTGTGCCCGAAAACTTAAGTTTGAAATCAGGTCTCGTGAATAACAAGTATAAAACGAATTAGCACGAAATAAATTTCTGAGTAATAAATTAAAAGTAGACCAATATAGTCTTCACTGTCTATCCATATGTTATTTGTATTGTGAACAAAGTCTTATGAACAAATGAATAAGTTTCATGTGGAACATATTCCCCTGTTTCCAGTTGAACAAATAACTATGAATGGTTATAAAATAATAAAGTATCAATCAGCATGAATTAAGTACTATTTAAATTAATACGAACTCGAAATTATGTGTTTATTTATTCGTTTTATTCCATGTATATACTTTTTCAACCATAAATTTCCGAACAATTGTCTTGAGTTGAGGAATTTCAATGTGTTCAAAATACGGCGCTATAAATTTTTTCGATGATCACAAATTGAAACATACATATCTTCCAAATTATAGGGTGATTTCTTAATGATCATAGACAGAAACATAAAGCTTTCATTATAGTAGATTGTTTACATGGCACTTTACTAAAAGGTTTACTTGACACTTGTAGTAGATTTGTCTAAAATCTGCATAATAATCATTGATATTGCCTCTGACATGTCTCTAAAATCGTTTTTGAGGGCCAAAAAAGCAACTTTTTAATCACACAGGAGCTTGTTTTATCTATCGTTGTCATTGGTAACCACTCTAGCATGACCGCCGATGCAAAGTGTCATCAACAGCCAGGGTAGGCTTTCGTCATTTCTCTCATTATAACTATAACTCATAAATTCATCCGGGACCGAAAAAACTGCTCGCCTCTCACGCCCCACAGGCAACTTATGGGAACGACTCGTAGCTGAAAAACACTTGACGACATTCGACAATACTCGTTAAAAGAGTCCCAATAATTTTGTTTTTCACAAGTATTTGTTAAAATATACCAATCAATTCGTAAAAACTCAACGACATGCATGAATGTCATAGCAAGTTAGACTGATAAGGCTAGACGGCTGTCTTAAACAGCCCTATTTCTTCAACGCCGAAGAGGCTATGCTATGCTGGACGCGAAGTTTGAAGTCTCATTAAAATAAGAACTGTCATAATTTGACGCCTGCATGGGATGACTGCATTGAAGTTTGAAAACCCCCGAAAATAAAAGGAGCTAAAATGTAGTGAAATGCAGAACTATAAGACCTGAATGTGGTGACGGGAACCCAACAAATCCGTTAAACTTTTTTTTTGTATGAGAGAACGGGGGCGCATGCCGGAAGCCAGCTGTGCCATACTTCACACTTAGCTCATATTCCTTTCCATAGGTAATAACGCTGGAGTGCATAACGGCCTTGAAGTCAAGTGCTCAAAAGTCAAAGCCATAGCGCCGGATGTCCACAGCCACAAAATAAGCTTGCCAAAGGTAAACATGGCGATACTGCATCTGGCCTAACCTATATGAGCTGCAACCTTTCTTCACCCAAAACAAACCTGAGCAGACCTAACCCAACCTCATTGACTGTAGAAGTTAGAAAGGCGGTCCAAGTGTGCTGGTAGAGCCAGTCATTGGCTGCAAGAAGGTTGTGAGTCGGGACAGCGTAAAAAGGTTAGGCCAGAGTAGGTACAGCCGGGTTGGGAACTGCCTGTTTATGAGCGAGCATGCCTAAGCATTGGCTGAAGACCTACGGCGCTATTATCCTCCGGCAGTGTGTCGCTTGTCTGGATTACGGAGTTCAAGCGTAGTCTGCGGCTTCTAGTTCTGAGGCTGAGTAAAGTTAATGCATGGTGAAGCTAGGCGTTTGCTCCAGAGCTTATTTAGGAGTAAAATTTGTGGCCTACGGCTGCGCCCCCAGAGAACGGCATTGAAGAGGACTCGCGGATCTCGTGTAAAGATTTTGCGCGAGTTCACTGATTTACAATGTAGCTTAAGATCTAAGCAATGTTATAGTTATTAGAACAAAAATCTTACTGACTCATTAGCTATATCATTTAGACTGAAAAAGTACAGGAAGAAGATTTAGTACTAGATTTTCTCCCGTAAAAGTTATTAGCCAAGCTTTAAATTAAAGTAACACATTCAGTTATTTATTTATCAAATTTGCATGGGTCTTATTATGAGCTGCACTCCGTCAAGAAAGTGTGCAAAATTTTGCTTCTTATTTAAATTTCAACTGAGTAATAATTTGCAGTTCTTGTTTTGACATCTGATCTATTTTCATCAGTATACCATAGGATTCTTTTTCTCACGAAATCTTGACGAAGAAAACCAGGCTCTGTTCCAATTTAAAAGGTCAACTAATTTATAATGTCTTCGAACGGAAAATCCGATTCGAGCGAGTCACGTACATCGTACAACACTCATTTCTGAATTAAATTTATTTGAAAGTGGCCTGCATTAAAAAGTAAATGAAGATGTAATTTAAATTACCTAATCACCATAGAGGTGGAAGGTCTCAATTATTCATCACCCACAAGGGGCGGAAGGTCTCAGATGTCCAGCCCGCTGAAGCCGGCTCGAAAGAAGCAGCGTTAGCATCTCAAAGAGACGAAGTGACAAGGAGGGACAGGTTAAAAGCAACAGAAACCAAGACACTCGAACAAGAGGTCGCTTACACGGGACGTCGGCCGCCCGCACGAGAGAGACAGAGAAGGGAAATGTAAGGAATCCTACCTACATAATAACTTAACCCCACAACTGAGACCTGCATTCAGACACCGCGAGCTCAGCTGTGGGGCGCTCAGGAACAATCGTTAAGGTTCTTAGAAACTTATCTCTACCGTAGCTCAAAAGATGCTCGACAAAGTCGACATCTTTTATATGCAACACGCTATATTATAGAAGTGTGCTAGCGCTGATGATTTCGAGACGCTGTCGATTACGTAAAGGTCAAACCTCACACAAGGAAGATGTGGATCATGTCGATTGAACGTTAATTCCTGTTAGAAAACTATGTTATTCAATATGTCGGACATTCGAACTTTATGAAAAAAGTCACGGATACATTACAGATATATTGCGGTTATTTAATACTGTAAACTTAACTTACAGGAACACCATACATAAACCAGAACTGACACGCATTAAAACTATCTACATTTTACTGCAGACTCGAATGTAATGCTTTCTGTCAAAATTGAAGACTGTATTAGGCCATGATTGAACTAACTATAAAAGGTTGACCCACGAGAAGTTCCGTCTTTCAGATCAGTTTTCTTGTTACGTCACGTTGATCAAAAAACGTAAACAAACCCGTCATTCCCATGACGGATTGGTTTACTGGTTTGATCGCATTTCGGTGGTTGGTTAATGCCCGTGACGTCACTGAGATCAGCGACGTCACGGGCGAACAACGAACTACATCCGCAAAAATGGGCTTCTGATGGGTCAACCTTATATTAGTTCAACCATGGTATTAGGCAGCTCGAAGCCAAGCCCTATAATGTAAAAAAAAACACAGTTGAACAAGCGTTTCATTAATTTATCTGCGTAAAAGATACGAAGTTGAAACTTGTAGAAAATTTGTTTTTATTTCTATCTTTAGCGTCAGGTTTACCACACAGGTAGGTTGCGTTAAAAATGTAACTAACGAGAGCAAAAGTGATGCTTCGCAAAACAACGAAAGAAGAAAAAAATGGGGAAAAACATAGCATCTGTCAAATCCGTTTAGAGATCAAGTGGTCTAACAGTTACAGTAGTTGTTTTTGCTCCATCTCAACGGACACTTAAGCAACACTGAGGAAAACACGAATAAAGTGGGATATTTAAAAGTATTCCAAGACCCTGAAAAAGATTATACTGTTCTCTAATATTGGAGAAATGAGACTATAAAGTGTAACATTTGCTCAAAGCTACAAAGAGTTTTTCTGTGAAGTAGTGTGATCATGTGATGCATTATTGACCTATCTCGTGCATTATTGACCTATCTCGTGCATTATTGACCTATCTCGTGCATTACTGAATGGGTAGCATCAGTGATTACATGATTAAACTACAGCAGAGCAATTCTAACTTTGGGCCAATGTTACACTTGAAGGCAAATCTTGCCACAGCTGATGCTAGCAAGTTTATTGTCAAACAAAGACTTTATCGCATGATTATAAATGTCCAATATTTTATATAAATTTCAATCTCAAACTTAACATACTGCTCAAGCCTGTTCATTATTAGAACTTAGCAGGGGATAGTAAAATTAAGAAAGGCTCAACATAGCAGTGATCGAAACTTATTTAAAATCTAGGACTTACATGGAAACAAAACCCATTTTGAGTCACAATTTTTCGACGCAATATAGGATTAGCCCATTAGCTTGTCTAACAAGAAGCTCAGAACGGAATGTACAAATATTGCATAATATACTCATGAAGTGAACAATCATTAATATATAAATATGAGTTATAGGACCCTCTAAGATGGCAAGAGTCTGCATAGCAGCGCGTCGGCCTCGCTGGGTACGTTTGCGGCATCAACGACGCCCTCAGACAAAATTGATGACAATTGCCGCCGCACGTCGTTCAAGAGCTGCACAAACGCAATAATAAACATTAACATAATATTAAAAGCAAAACAAAAATGTTGATACAAATGTTGATACTTTTTTGTTATTATCTTTCTAGGTGTCAGTGAACGGCAAATTCTATACAAGGAAACAAAAGGCAGTTGGCAACTAATGTAGAATGCCAAAAAAAAAAAAAGACACAGAACATAATATACCTATGTACATTTGTAAAAGAACTGGTTTCAGAAAAATTCACCTTACATCACTCGAACCAGCATTTATATATACTTCATTGTTTTAAAAACTGACCTTTATCTCATCTGCTCTATGGTCTTGGATGAAGCGCAGATTATCCCTCAAGGAAGAGCAGGCAGATTTCGAGTCCTCCGAAAGAATATCATTTAGAACCTGGAAATTTTATCAATGATTATTCAGGAGAAATGCAAGCCATAAAAATATTTTTTCCTCTGCATTTCATAAAAATGTAATCAGAGAGCAAACTAAAAATAACAAACTTTTCTATGAAAATAGCATAAAATGTTGAAAGGAACAACTTGGTCATCACAGGTAAGTTGGGTAAAAAATGTTGAATATTCATAGTAAATTAAGCAACAAGGACTATTAGGTAACTCAAATGAAATTTATCACTTCATTTATTATCATCAATACAGAATTATTACAGAATTTTTTATGAAAGAATTGACTAACCTGTTCCTGCTGAACTAGCACTTTCTCGCCCACCTCCAACTCTGCCTTGAGGGAAGCCTGAACGTAAAGCTCCTGTACAAACAATCACGTCAATTCTAACTGCACATTTATTAGGCTTCATTATAAGATATCAGTATTCATCAACAGGTGAGATTATTTTCATGCTGAATACCGTATGCGTACAACATCACCAGTAGGAGCTCATCAAATCTTTTGTCCCACAAAATCATAGTAGCTAGTTATATTTTTAATGGAATGAGCAGCAAGTTAGGCTCCAAGCTCCACAAGTGGCCAGAGATCCTGAATTGAGAATAAGCCTGAACAATATGTTACAAAATAAAATGTAACCATATAGATATTTTATTGAACTGATTCAATCAATCTACCGGTAGAAACAATCAAAGTTTTTAAATCTTCTGTAATTCTACAGGTAGAAAACCCTCCCCCAACCACAAAAAACACAGTCAGACTAAATGGGAAAGATGATTTGCAATTGAGCTGTGGTCAACAACTCACATTGCTGTACTGGGTGTGCAAGTCGGCAATTTTATTCTTCATTGCTTCCACCTGAGAAGGGTCGGCCGGCTCACTTTGCAGAGCATCGCATGGAAGTAGTAGGTGGTTGGGCAAACGCAGCACCTCATCCAGCAGGTGACGCTATCAAAATGTCAGTATCAGCTATGCGCAAAACTTAGCGTGTACAGTTATAGTTGAAAACTTCCAAAATTAAACATGGAAATTTATTTTGTTTTAGTGCTAAAAATCAGTGAATGCAAAGTTAAATAGAACAGAATTGCCCTTTCATCTGCTTTTCACTAAATAAATTGAAAAACTACCTATGGTATACAAACTTAAGATGGAGTATTAATTAAAATGCAAAAAAAAAACACTTTAGAGTGATAATTGGAAATATCAAATTTTTACAACTTACTTGTAGTTTTCCAAGAGTTTTTTCTGTGTTCTTGTTTATAACACTCTTGAATTTTTCCATCCCTTTACTCAGGTCTGCTTTGCTTAGGATGTTCTCAGGTATCTGTAAAATAATATCGGTATCTATTTAAATTAAACAACTTTTAGAATTATTTTAAGCTAAAATATCTTTGCAAACAGAAATTATAGGTTCATTGCACAATGAAGGAGAATGAAATTTTTTCTTGTTTGCCACTATGATAGAATCAAATAAATAAAGCAAAAATTAAACTGGGCAAATGAATAATTATGAAATGAATTAAAATCATATTAATGTTCCATACAAGAAAAGTGGTAATAACACATTAGCTGTTACCTGAGAAAGGCTTTCCTCCAAGTCATCAATGGCATCAGCAATTTTTTCTTCAATCATCAGTACCACTGCACATTAAGGAAGTTTTACTTGTAAAACAGAAAACCAGGTCAATTTTTCTAACATAAAAACCTAAAACAGAATTGAAAGTTATAATACACTGAATAATCATAAAATACCTAGGTACCCATAAACCAATTAAAGTTAAGAAATATCAGTTTTTTTATTTCTTAATAGTAGGAATTACTGCCAATGTAGCAAGAAGCTTTTGATTTAAAAATTAATATTAATTATATTTATAGCTTGTAATACCTACACCTCAAGGATAATCATGAAAAATTTCTCATAATCCAAGCAAATTCTTTCAGAAAATTTGAGATGATATTGCAATAATGAGATAAGTTTGGAGTCTGAATAGATGAAACACACAAAAATATATTTTAAGTTAGGTATAACTTGAAATAAATTTACAAGAGTGACATGCTTACAACTCTTAAAAAATTTGAATGGAAAATTGTCATATGAACACACTATAAATGGCCCTTGCACAACAATAAACTTATAAATTTCATACTATTTGACAGAACCATGAAATTTAAACATACCCAGTAATTGCAGAAAAAACTAAAAACACAAATTTTAACTTTACACACTTTAATAAATAACATTATTCATCTTTATAAATAAATGTGTTTTGAAAGTTGAAAAATGTTTGACTACCAGTAGGTATGTCAAAAATATCAACTTACTTCCTTGCACAGATGATGAGGGAAGGAAGCCATAGAATTGTGTTTCATATTCTTCATTTGGGAGCAGGGCCACAGCATTGGAAGCTTGAGGGGATGTCATGATTAAAATTTCAGCTTAGATCTTAATTTTAAGATAATATAACTTAGGTTGTTTTTTGCACTTTTAGCATAGATACGTATGGTTAATTAATAACTACCTACTTCTCCTGGACAAAATATAAAAGATGGTTAATAATGTGGGTACCAGTTTACATTCCAGTTGGCTACTTGGAGGCTACATACTTATTCTACGTAAACCAGCTGGTGAATAAGTGTCAGAAGGAAAGCCACAACCAAGTTTGCAGATTGGATTGAGTTAGGGATATCAAACTGTAACTAAAGAGGGCAATTGGAAACTAAAGCTTAGCCGCTTAGAGAAAAAGAAGTGGAAGGCCGCGTGGCGCTAATAATAAATTTAGTGTGACGGCTTAGGGTGTTGCACACTTGGTCTGACTTAGACAGCACAGCACATATGTTAAACATCACCTTGACTGAGTGTAAGATTTGTAAGAAAAAAATTGTTCTTTTTAACATTAAAGATTGAATGTTTTTAATATGAAAGAAATCCCTACATCTTCAGTACCGTAAAATGGGGTAACTTTGACCACTTTTTCTTTCAAAATGATGCCATTTTTTTTACTAGATAAGTTAAACTTATATTGAAACATGCAAAATACAGGTCTATACTCTAGCTTCACTCACCATAAATTGCTTTCTCCTGCCTCTCATAGTTTTGATGTAATTTCAAAAAAGTGATGGTCTTTGTTACCCCAGCTCTTGAGGTTTCTTTGACTGGGTAGTAAAATCAATTTTATTTTTTGGTAAAATAACTCCAAATAACTCCAGGTTTTGGTGCATTGTAGTAGAACTCTTCTAGTTACATATGCAAATGACAAATTTGTGGGAAGTGTCATAATTTGCTAATTGGGGGCACCGCCCCCCAATGGGCAAAATGTAACCACCTAATGGCAGCCGTGATGGGGTAACATTGACCGGCTTGGAAATTAAGTTAAAATTACCATATATAAGACTCTGTAGAGTCTGAAACACAAAGAAAAAAACATTAATAGGTGTACGTATCAAACATAAAATATGTTATATAGGTACCTATGGTAATTTTAACTTAATTTCCAAGCCGGTCAATGTTACCCTGTCACGGCTGCCATTAGGTGGTCAAAGTTCCCCCATTGGGGCCACACTCAGGAAGATGTATATAAACGGGGAAATTTCTCGCGTAAATCAATCTAATTATATTTTTTTCGCGCAGACGTTTGTGCAAATCACGGTCATCGATTCCGCGCCGCGCAGCACTTGGCGCGGGCCGCGGAGCCGTATGACAAAGTTCTGATTTAGACACAGTTTTCATCTGAATGGAATGGCAACATCGTCTGTAGATGATTTCAAGTAACGCTGAACCAGCATTGCCAGATGGTATATTTCTATACCAGATTTCACAAATCTGGTATTTTCAAAAGGTGTCTGGTATGAATATTTCAGATCTGGTATATATGCCTAAATCTGGTATTTTTCTGGTATATTCTGACTTACTGCAATTGCCGCGCGTCCATATTTAAACTATTTTAGCTTTCTAAAAGTACGGCGCTGTCGGCGCACGGCGCATTTTTTTTACCGGCATAGTACGGCGCACCGCGCAGGTCGTTAAAATGACAATATAAATTCCCGCGCACCTGGCACATCTTCCTGACCATGGCATTGGGGGGCAGCGCCCCCCATTTGCAAACTATGAAACTTTCCTAAAATTTGCCATTTGCATATGTAACTAGAAGAGTTCTACTACAATGCATCAAAACCTGGAGTTATTTTACCAAAAAATAAAAAAATTGGAGGGGGTACTCCAACAGGCTTTAAATAAAAGCTCTTTTTTTGTGGGTCACATTATTGATTATTTAACCTATTAGTATTAGATATGCAAACTTTTCAAATCTTTCTATTGTGTTACGTAACCTCAGTATTAGGTCTTTGATGGCCATTGACAAAATTTTTCTATGTCAAATAGTTTTTGAGTTTTAGGAGTTTTTGTTAAAAAAACGAAAAGTGGTCAAAGTTACCCCGCCGGTCAAAGTAACCCCATTTTACGGTAGTAAAATTGAGCCTTCACTCAATTGGCAACTGGCAACTAAAATGCCATTAAGCACCAGCATTTGCCAAACAAAGTCTGGACTCTGGACCAATCACTGAGATGTATGCTTTAATTGTGTACCTATGTACATACTACCTATATCATTTTGCTCCCAGCCTCCCCCTGACCCAGAGGGAGTCAGGGAGCAAAACAAAGCAGCAAAACTGAAACTTGCCATATAGGTACTATGACCGGGTGTCAATTTAAGCAGTTAAATCTGCTTTGCAGCATGAGATCATTGAGATGTGATAATACTTTAGATTAAGTGCATCCAATTTTAATTGATGATCCAAAAAAGGGTGTTTTTTTATTTTAATTATATGTTTTTTGGGGAGTAGATTAAGAATATGAAATCCGTTTTTGGCGGTCGGCATCGGAAATTTTCAATGGAAGTTGGAACCTGTTCCTAACTGGACCTAACATGCGAGGATTTCGTTGATTGGCTAGGTTTTTCCGGCCGCCAGATGGACTCCAAAGTCCAAACATAGAAGGTGTCTGTTGTCTGTCAAAGGATGATAAATTTTGGAACAGAACTATGCTATCTGAAACGGTGAAACCTAACCTCAGATGCGGTGAACATAAAATTATGTAATTTAACAATGCCCGGAACTCGGAAGTTAGATTCAATCGGTATTATTGCAGATTAACTACATCCAAAAAAAAAGGGTGTTTTTTTTTTTGAATTATATGTTTTTTGGGGTGTAGATTACGAATCTGAAATCCATTTTTGGCGGTCGGCATCGGAAAACCGATTTTTTTCGCGACTTACTAACATGGGGGTTACCGTAAAATGGGGTAACTTAGACCGGCGGGGGAACTTAGACCACTTTTCGTTTTTTTAACAAAAACCCCCACAACTNTTTTGGCCGATTTCGCAGATTTTAGGCATTTTTAGCGCGATTTTTGGGTGCGAAAAAAATCGGTTTTCCGATGCCGACCGCCAAAAATGGATTTCAGATTCGTAATCTACACCCCAAAAAACATATAATTCAAAAAAAAACACCCTTTTTTTTGGATGTAGTTAATCTGCAATAATACCGATTCAATCTGTGGCCTGGTGGTGCACGGCAGATTCTATGCTAGGCCAGACTCCAGTGGAAGACAAAGCCCAGTGGTTCATGCTTCATGGCTCATTGGTTGATGTCCGGAGGACCGGAGATATCCAAGGCATTCGATTAAGGGCTTATTTGTTATTGGTGGTGCATGGCTGCACTCCCAGCCTCCCACGTCCCACCGTCACTAATAAAGACAGTCCCACGCTCAGCAAGCACTTAAGATCTGGAAACCTTTCACTTGCTGTCTTGCTCCAGTCAGTCCAGTGGTGTGAACTGTGAAACTCTAGAAAGTAAGTTGGACATGCTAAATGAGCACCGAATGCTAATTTGCCAGCCGCCCAGGCCGGCAGGCCCTGGAGCTGCAGAAGCTGAGAAGCAGAACGCCAGCAGCCAGAGTCCAGAGTCCAGACTGCCCGAGCAATTGAACAACAATCGCCACTGCTCGTGTTCGTCAACTCTGATTTCGAATTATACCCAAATGAATTGCAGAAATGAAGTTATCCGCAGCTGTGGATGACTGGATATGGCGTTTCAATTTCTGACTAATATTTAGAAAATTTCCGCATTCATCATCTCATTATATCATCATGGAAAAATTTTTTTGCTTGAAAATCTGATTTGTATGTTTTCGATAATTTTCTGATTGCAAAATGGTGTAAAATGAAATAAATGAGTTCCTCAATTCCTAACAGTTTAAAATTGATTGTTTCTTAATTAGGGAAGAGATAGGATCAACATATGGATTTGAATTAAATAAAAAAACACATATATACTTTGCAGAATACATTTGCACAGCTCTTACGAAAGCTATTTCTAAATCTAGTTCAACATTTGGACAATTTTCTAACCGTTCTTCCGAATTAATGAACTTCGATACACTGTGAAGCACTTTTGCATAGTTCTACACTTATAAATAACCTATAACTTTTTTAATCTCCATGTCCTTGTTTAATGACTACGAACTTTTTTTAATTTACAACGCTCGGTCGTGTGTGACACTAGTTTTGTATTAGGCCCACATATAATTTTAAATGGTAAGGATAGACAATAGAAAGATTTACCGCACAAGCAACACTGGGTCAACATTTCAGCGAAGTCGCTAAAAAGATTAATTGCTAAAGATTTGTGATTGCGGTCCTTTTTATAACCACTCTGTCCAATAATATTCAGCTGTCTCACGTAGGATTTTACATGAGTTTTGGTCCACCACGATATGATTTTCAAACGCCGGCAACGTGCGTTCTCAGAAGTTTTTTTCTTAGCCCGCTCACTACCAAATGAAATAATAACACGGTAACTATTTGAGTTGAAATCAATCATCATGTAATAAATTGTAGTCACTTTTCTATTGTGAATAAATCTGATTCAGAAATTTGGGACTAGCCAGATTCAGAGACAAATTTAAATTTATCTGAACCATCTGAATATTGGGTATTTAGCAATGAAATTAAATTACTACTAAAATTGCAATAATACGTACAGCTAAGAAATATCGATGCTCTGTGAATGCGACTTGACAAAATTGCTGACAAATCGGTAAATTGTCTGATAATCATATTATTTATTTAAAAGGACAATGTTATCGATATACTGAAGGATGGTTGCAGCACGTTTGTCCTACGATGCTTACGCAATTAGCTTGTAATTAGTCACTCTGTTCACTGCCGTTTCTTAACAACGTATGACAACTTGAGCTCAAGGTTTCTCGTGAATCTGCAAACACGCGTCAGGCAGCATGAGTTACCTGCTCGTTGGCATAGTGAGAGTCATCAACAAAGTGTGGCTCACCCAACACCGCGGCATCGGTCGCCCCACCACATGCAAGATCAATGCACACGTAAACATTGACCTTTATCCTCATTTTCTTTAGTTTTTTTTAAATAAGTAGTCACCTATCCATCCAACGCTGTATGTATAAATACTCGTATATTATATAAGTATCGTTACAGATACTAAACAACTATCCGTGACATTTCTTGTTGTGATCGTGAAACGTGACTGTTCGTAAAATATTGGAAGGTTGTCCGAAGAATAACGAGAGCTTAGGTGTCACGGCCGCGATGGTCGAGTTTCGTGAGTTCTGAAATCCGGTATTGGTTAGTAGCGCTCTACACTCACCAGGCGCAGCAATTGGTGGTACACTCTTCACATTTGCCTTAAGAGAATCCGAGGCCCAGCGGATGTCGTATCTATATTTTTCCTGGCACTTAATTAGTTGCGTAGCAGTTGAAATTTTTGGGCGAGGTGGAAAAAATATATTGGTATATTTTATGGTAGAAGTGTTATTTTTCACATCAGAAAATGCAAACTCAGCTATGAAATAGTGTACATTGGTCGATCGGAAAGTCCCGGTATTAAAGTTTTCATCGGGTGCCGTATCGAGTGGAGTCTGTTGTAGCAACTGCTGCTTGTCGTGAAGAACTGTTTTATATGCCGCACTCGCCAGTTTCCGACCGACCTTCTAATTCTTGTTTTATCGTGAAAAATAAAATATATAGCGATCAGCTTGGAAATATTTCTTCTATCTACACCCATCTGAAACGAATTCATTTAATGGAGTATTTCAAAATATACGATGTTGAGTGTGAACTTCAAAGCCCCACCTCTGTATTTAACTAAATTCTATACGACCTTTACCTCTAAAAAGCCAATTCAATAATGACCTCAATATTTGCGAGCTGGCCCTGAAAATGATATTCTTATATTGCCCTGAAAATAATATTCTTATACTGGCCCTGAAAATAATATTTACAAATCCAATAACATTTCGTAAGTTCATTCACATCTCTTCTTCTTAGCTACAATGATTTAGATGCAAGGAGTGTTAATCACATGCGAAGATATTGTTCCGCACTTATATGTCTTAAAACCTTTTTTATATTTATGCAAGGTTATTTATCATCAACATTTTCCTGTCTGTTGGAATTATTCATGCACTGAGATAATCATCAAGTTGAGTTCTGTGTTAATTACCCGTTTAATATTCTCAGTTAATTCTTATCTGTGCGTACTCGAGTGCTATTTTTTCCAGCCACGTCCAGTCCGTCGATCTTCTTTCTTCTAGGGAAAACTTGAAGGCAAAGCTTTTTCAAGTTCCTTAACCTTGACTGCACGAAAGTTTCGGCTCTCGTCGGCTCATAATGCGAGAAGTTAAGACCCACAAATTGCGTCGAAGGAAAGCGTCTTTTTTTACCTAGAGTTGCATCTCGGCCTTGACGCGTCTTCATTAGTGTGTATTTGGAGCAACTTGTAAACAGTCTTCTGGAAAAACATACAAATTTTTTTCAGAGTCGCGTATATTCTTCATGCCAATTAAAAGTTGAAAGTTCTAGTTTGAAATTTCGTGATTCATTTTTTTTCTGCAAAATGTTATTTATTTTATTTTTTTCATGCAGGTACAATTAATAGGGGATTCAAATTTGTACCAGTGAGAGAGATGAGGATATTTTAAAATTTACTTGCATAGAAATTGAGAGATTTAAAGCGCACTAACGGTTACTAGAGGAGACTTTAATTTACACTAGCGAAGACATGGGGAAATTTAAGCACGCATTGCAAAGACATGAAGAGATTAAGACAAACATCACCTCCAAGCTCTGTCATCAATATTTAGCCTCAACCAACGTTGATGACGAGTTATGTTTGGGATAATTAATTCAATATATTTGGACACCTCCAAGCTTCGACATCAATATTGAGCCCCACCCTAGGAAGATGACGAGTTGTGTTTGGGGTAATTAATTCAACTTATTTGGACACCTCTAAGCTTTGACATCAATATTTAGCCTCACCCAGCGTCGATGACTATTTGTGTTTGGGGTAATTAATGCATCACATTTGGCCACCTCCAAGCTCTGGCATCAATATTTAGCCTCACCTAACATTAATGACGAGTTGTGTTAGGGGTAATTAATTCAACACATTTGGCCACCTCTAAGCTCTGGCATCAATATTTAGCCTCACCTAACATTAATGACGAGTTGTGTTAGGGGTAATTAAATAAACATATATGGCCACCTCCAAGTTCTGGCATCAATATATTGTCTCACCCAAGGCTTGTTGATGATTAGTTGGGTTGAGGTTAAGCGATGCGGCATCACCATCGTAACTCAGGCTCACAAACCTGCGATCGATTTGCTGTCTGATCTCAAGGCTTCTCTCCCTCCAACAAAAAATCCTCAATTTTCTAAGAAATTGAGGGCGAAAATTTAATGCAAATGAGGTTTTTTGTTGGCCTGTATGCCAGTTTCTCACAATCACGTTCTTTTTCAGATCCATTTTGGTGAAAATGTGTCGAAGTTTTTACTGTACAGTAGGATATATGGTATAATTTTAGGGATATTTGTAAATTTAGCAGTTGTTGAAGTTTTATGCATCACTTCGAAATGAAATTATATTTGAGCTTAACTGATAATTACTCCAATGACATGAACGACCTAAACAGTGTACATTTGTAAACGGGAAAACGAAAAGTCGTTTTCATCAACATTTTTCTAATACTTTTGCAATCGTGACCGCAATTTATTGGATGACAAGTTACCATGCCTGCGGAAGCAGTAAAAGTCATCGTGAGATGTCGGCCCATGAACAAGCGAGAGATCGACCTCAAATGCAAGGTAAGACGCAAGCGCTTATCATTAATACCTTATCTATCCTCCATGCAAAGGCCAGAATGTGTATTAAAAACCTACAAAAGTTACCAAGCATAGTGCAGCAAACGTGAGCGGCGAAAAGGCCTCTACGAAAACTCAATCGTTTTCAAGTCAAGTTTATATCTTCACTTTAGTTTAGCTTGAAAATTAGTTGAGGTGTGATACATTTGGTGTGATACATTAAAAATCTGATTTTCAAATTTAAGTTTTATTTCCACACCTATGATTAGTAGTGGTATATACATGTACCTGTAGGAGCTTAAAACGTATTCTAACTATCATGCAGAATCATCGGATCCTTTGTGAAAAAAATCAGAATTCCTAACGGACGTGCAGAAAAACAGGAAGAATAACGTAGGGTTTGATCTTAACAACATTAAAAGCGGTCTTTGGATGGGATGCAGTACTAGATATGAACTTTACGAGCCCATGCTCATACCTGATGAGAACAAATGTCACGAGATTGCTTGAAAATGTAAAGAATACTGTTCTTCTTTTAGTTTATAGTTTGTCTTCATCTGAATAGCATTTTCTAGATTCAGGTAAGTTCTATTTTATTTTGGATCAATTGCTGCGTACGTCACATTCCTTCTATGAATGTGTTGCGTGGTATTTGCTAGTAGCGTCTGCTCGTTCACAGGCCGGTGGCCAAAGGTCACGTCTAAATACTTGATATGGACTCCCTGGTGTTCTTCGAACCGAACATTGAACTCAATACTTTTCCGCAGTGTTAATCCTGATACACTGCTTTCACTATACACTGTTCAGTGACCCGCAGTGTTAATGCTGACACACAGTGTTAATCCTGACACACAGTGTTCGTTATATGCAGTGTTAATGCTGATACAAAGTGTTAGTTATGTGCAGTGTTAATGCTGACACACAGTGTTCGTTATATGCAGTGTTATATATAATGCTGACACACAGTGTTCGTTATATGCAGTGTTAATCCTGATACACTGTGTTCACTACACACTGTTCACTGACCCGCAGGGTTAATCCTTATACACAGTGTTCGTTATCTTTGTTTGACCAGCTCGAAATATGCGGCCGTCTCGCACCAATCAGTTTTCCTCAGTGTGTTGAAACACGATAATCATCTCGCTAAGACCAAACTGTAAATTCTTTAGATTTCTAATGAAATGTAATGAATAATTCAATGTGTTTTTTAATGGCATAGCAAACTGTTTCCTTTGAACTAGGACAATACAAAACATGACTGGCTGAGTTGTCACGGCACGACGTCTTATTTTTAGTGCACGGCATAATTCCATTTAATAACATGATGCCTCATCCCCCATGCACGGCACGATGCCTCATCCACCATGCACGGCACGATGCCTCATCCACCATGCACGACACGATGCCTCATCCCCCATTACGATGCCTCATCCACCATGCACGGCACGATGCCACATCCACCATGCACGGCACGATGCCTCATCCACCATGCACGGCACGATGCCTCATCCACCTTGCACGACATGATGCCTCATCCACCATGCACGGCACGATGCCTCATCCACCATGCACGACATGATGCCTCATCCACCATGCACGACACGATGCCTCATCCTCCATGCACGGTACGATGCCTCATCCACCATGCACGACACGATGCCTCATCCACCATGCACGGCACGATGCCTCATCCTCCATGCACGGTACGATGCCTCATCCACCATGCACGGCACGATGCATCATCCACCATGCACGGCACGATGCCTCATCCGCCATGCACGGCACGATGCCTCATCCTTCATCTCCATGTAAGCCGATGTAAATTGTGCACGGTAATTGCAACGCGGACCAAATATTGCGTTGACTACGAATACAATAATTCTAATGTAGAGTTTATAAAATGTAAAGAATTTATCTTCTTATATTCACTTGTAAATCATTTGGTGAGCATATAAAGGCTTGGCGAACTTGATTGTGTTAACCTGTTGTATTTCATCCGAGCTCTTTTCGTATTTGTGCGGCAAATGTAGTGAAAAGCGTGATATAAATCAAAAATTTTTTGAAAAATAGCAATTGAATCCATGAAATAAATGTGGGGGATCCCATAAGGCTAATTAAAGTACAACTATATATCGGATCGGTTGGTTTCGAAACCGCTACAATTTAACTTCGAAACGCTACAACTTAGGACCGGGATTTAACACGAATTGCAGAGGATAGTGTTCAAAGTGTATTTTGTTAAGTATGGAGGTTGCACCTGTAGAATGAACGAACGGCTATAATACTAATTGCATAATACATATCGAGATGAATAAATTAAGTACATTATATAAGTTAATATAACAAATTAGATCAATATAATAGGATCTATTTAATGTCTTACCCCAAACATAGGCGAAGCAGGCTGTTATGATACTACGGATAACTGAATCGACGAAGAAACAAAATGTCAATCTATAAGAAGCTAGGATGGTTTACGAAAAAGATAAATATTCTAGAAAATTAATAAAACGGATAACAGAGATAAATTGTGTCCCTACGCAACCATTATCTTTTACCGTATTTATTTTTCAACTAAAACCCCTAAACATTACACATACATTCGCAAACATGGAATTCAAATACTGAATTTTCTGAATATTTAAATACTGTATTTTTGAAGTATTTTGGGTACTGTATTTTTACATAATATCGGCATCGATAATGAGAACAATCATAATGCGTGTGAATGTAATCGCATTTTATGCATCAGTTCACGCATGGACGCTATAGCTGCTTTAACCGGTTGAATTATTGAAGGCAGTGACACGGTTGCATGAGAATCGAAGACTCAGGTTTGTCCCAGTGCGACCTAAATGTCTTTAATAATATTGAAGTACGCTAGGGTACTAAGACATGCATCAAGGATGGATGAAAAGTGTACGCATGTTAAATAATTTGTTATTGGACGGTTTGAATGTTAACGGGTTGACACAACATGCCAACGAAATATCATTGCAGTTGCTCAAATTAAAATTCACGTGAATAGTTTTCAATAACTTAACAAAACTCGGGATATAAAAAGTTAACATTCTATTCTCGGGGAGAATTACATAATTCACTCGCTTGAGTCTCTATACATTCTTAAATTCAGGTGCCCATTCGCTTGAGCAATATCATCATCGAATAAATAAAGGATTGGGGAATGATTCAAATCCACACTCAATACTTGTTTCTTCTGTTGACGGTAGCTGACTTGAGGCTTGAATTTCAAGAACTCCCGTAAATATGATCTCCCAAATAATTAAGCATGACAAATAAATAACGCGAGTGCGATTTTTCTGTAAAGCTCTTGGCTCGTGTGACATCCCACAATGTATGATAGAGGAGCAATAAATTACTTGATGTCTGAAAAATAAACCGAGATCTCCAAGCTTGTGACGCGAACGTCCGGCTGCTCCATCCATAGTTTAACGCGTCTCCAACTTTTCTGAAGGAGTTAATTTTTACGAAATCAACAGCCCTCAATATGGATGAATATTAATATTATATATACTATTTAACATCCGCCCTACTAATTGATTATTCACATTATTCATGGCTCTTGATGGGCCTTGTCAACCTAACAATATTTATGACCGAATTATCGTCTATATACATTTGCCATCACATACACTATAACCACCATTATTTCTTTGGAGGATGAACCATTCTGAAACGTTCACGGCTGGAAATCTTCATTATTAATGAACGAGACGAGCTCAGCACACAGCTATTGATCGGATACCCGACCTCCAACGATCTGGTGCTGAAATGGTGATGGCAGCTGTGCTGCCATCACGGCAGGTGTGCTGCCATCACGGCAGGTGTGCTGCCATCACGGCAGATGTGCAGTTATTTTTCCACCCTGTGTTTTGAGAGTTTTTTTATACCAGGCTATAACTCTTAGCTTATGAGAGTTACTCCGATTTTCCTTAGGCATTAACTTTAATTAATTAAAGGCATTAATTAGTCATTGAACTTTCTGTAAGAACATGGACGTTGTTTTGCTACCCGTATGTCAACGCATAATTTTGAATAATTTGATTCCTAATAATTTATTTTCGAAATTAAAAAGCAAGAGGGTCGGGCAAATGGGATAGATGTATGATAAACATTCCAACTTTCTGCGTACATTTAAATCCTGCGCCCTCATGCGATTTGAAGCTGAACTTTCCGTCTTCAATTATTGATAGAAATAACCCCGTTTGAATCAAAAGGGTATATTATTTATGAGAACCACTAACCCAGTCACTTATCATTAAGTTTGACCTCAATTTGCCGTCTTGGTGGACCATTAGTAAATAATTAAAAGTTCTCAATTGCACTAGTGTCCTTCAATCACATAGAGTTTTCTTGAGTCCATCATAGTTGTTTGACTAGCGCTAGGTACAAGGTTTATAGTCAGGTTCGTTCGCCCTAGATTGCGTTGTATGAAGAGGAATGACGGCAAAATTGTCCTTGAAACCTGTAATTCATGCGAATTTTTAATGGGTCATTTCATTATTTCATATTTTCATTTCGCCATAGACAGAAATATTTAAATTTACGCCGCTAATAAAAACTTATCATAATCGTTTATTATAGATTTAAATACGAAAATTTATATGGAATAATTAATTTTGTACATTTTTCCCTGAATCCTAATAAAATAACGATAAAATGGTAAAAGTTTTGTGATAAAGTAGCAGCCTAAAAATGCGCAGCGAAACCTTGACTCTTGCATCGATTGTGCCTAGCGTTGCCTGGAGACGCTACTAGCTCACTGGAGCCCTATGCTCGAAAGTTCTTATGGTGCTCGTAAGTTCTAGGCCGATCTCCGGTCCGTTAGTTCACTGGAGCCCTATGCTCGAAAGTTCTTATGGTGATCGTAAGTTCTAGGCCGATCTCCGGTCCGTTAGTTCACTGGAGCCCTATGCTCGAAAGTTCTTATGGTGATCGTAAGTTCTAGGCCGATCTCCGGTCCGTTAGTTCACTGGAGCCCT